AGCATTCAATCATTCCACATCCTGTTCTGAGTACCATATTTTTCGGAGTATAAGACACACCTTTCCCCCCAAAAAGAGGGGGCAAATTTGTGGGCGTCTTATACACTGAATCAAGCTACACCCACCCACCAGCCCCAACCCTTTGGCCTCTGCCTCCCAGCAATTTACCACTTTGAGCAAATGGGGGCTTGCGGAGGCTTCAATAAGCTATAGCAATCCCTGCAGTCCATAACAGCTGATGATCGGGAGAAATTGAAAGTGAAACTTGCTGTTTGCTCCACTGGAAAATTGCTGGGAGGCAGGGTTTTTCCCCCCTTGTGCTAATCAGGCTGTTTGCTGCAAGGAGGTAAGTCAACAACTATAAATGTCTATAGAATGTTCAAATTATAAGATTTATTTTTTAAAGACTGCTTTATTATTATTCTAGACAACTTAACAAAATGAAGAAGCTTTTTAAAATAAATGCTTGATCTGAAGAGGCCCCGTGCTATTCTTTTAAATAGCAGAGAATAACTCTACTTCCTGAAAGCACATCAATTTTAATAGCATCTGTACAAGTTTAATCTGAAATATAACACTACAAACAGGGGATATTGTCTGTACTGTTTGTTGCAAGGAGGCAAATTGCCGAGAGGCAGATATTTTTCCCTTGTTTTTCTCCCCAAAATCTAGGTGCGTCTTATACTTCGAGCATCTTCTACTCTGAAAAATATGGTAACTAGATTGTATTTGAAGTCCAAAATTTTGCCATTGCATCAGTGGTGGGTTTCAAAATTTTTTGGAACCTCTTCTATAGGTGTGGCCTGCTTTCCCGGTCCACTGGTGGAACCTCTTCTAACCGGTTCAGTAGATTTGATGAACCGGTTCTACCGAACTGGTGTGAACTGGTAGGAACCCACCTCTGCATTGCATGATGATCTCATGAAAGACATGAGATTCATGGAGGCCCCAATCTTGATCCATTGATGTTCTCCCCCCTTTGGGGTCACCCCAGTCACATTTTATTGAATATTTTTGATGAGTGGCATCTCATATATTAGGACCGGGTTTTCACTTCTCTCTATCTACCTTCCGGCCAAATAATTTACTCAGAGCCCGTTTCATTTCTTCGTTCCTTAAAGTATAGATAATGGGGTTGAGCAACGGAGTCACGGCGGTGAAGAAGACTGAGACCACTTTGTCCTCTGGCAAACTTGTGGAAGGACGGGAATAAATGAAGATGCAGTGACCCAGGAAGAGAGTCACCACTGTCAAATGTGCCGCACATGTGGAAAGAGCCTTGTGTTGACCTGCCACCAAACGGGTCCGAAGGGAGGCCAAGATGACACCGTAGGACACCACCAGCACCACGAAGCAGACCACGGAGATCAGGCCCGAGTTGGACACAATCAGGACCTCAATGACGTACGTGTCAGTGCAGGCGAGCTTTATGACTGGAGGGACATCACAGAAGAAGTTGTCCACCACCTTCGGGCCACAGTAGGGGAGCCTGACCGTCATGCCGATCAAAGCAAGGGAATGGATGGTACCACCAACCCAGATGGTGCCCGCCAAGAGTAGGCAGACCTTGTGGCTCATGACGTTGAGGTAGTGCATGGGGTTGCAGATGGCTACATAGCGATCGTAGGCCATGACGGTGAGGAGAAAGATCTCAGTGCAGGCGAAGAGGTGGAGGAAGAACATCTGAGCAACGCAACCTCCAAATGAGATGGTCTTCTCGGCTGACAGGAAATCAACCAGCATCTTGGGCACAGTGACAGTGGAGTGGCATATGTCAATGAAAGAGAGGTTGCTCAAGAAGAAATACATGGGGGTGTGGAGGTTGTCGTCCAGCATAATGGTGATCATGATGAGTATGTTCCCAGCCAAAATCAGCAGGTAGATCACCAGGAAGATTGCAAACAGAACCAGTTGGGTCTCAGGATTGTTGGAAAGGCCAACCAGCACGAATTCGGTCACCGAGGTCCAGTTCTGTATTGGGGTGGTCCAATTGGAAGCCATCTCTCCACCTATTCCTGTTCTGGAGAAAAGAAAAAAACAATATCCTGTATTATTTTGCCTTGGGGAAAGAAAAATGAAGGTGACCAACTCACACATCTACAAGCGTCACATCATAAAAGTTAGCAAATGAGACAGGACAATGTGATTGACCAAGTCCAACGAAATTGTCAAAGTGTCAGGGTTCCAAATAGCATCCAAAAGTAAATCGGAGTCCGAGGCAAAGGATTCCTCAAACTTCCTATTTATTAAGAGAGCCATGTTGGCACATCTGGGAAAAGCCAAATCTGAAAGCTTCCTGGTTTCCCCCACCC